TGGAAGGTGAACAGAGGCAAAGTCCCTGTCCATGGAGCTGGCTGGTGGCCCCAGCCTGTCCCCACCTGACCTTAAGGGCAGAGCAAGGCAAAGGAAGAGTGGAGGTGGCTTGCACTGCCTGGAGCAGCCCCAGAGGAAGGGCACCAGAGAGAGGAGGAGCCACTGGGGTTGGGTGGGGGCCCTTGGACTCTCAGGGCCAGGCAACCCCTCCTCTCCCTCCCCCTACGGGGCTCCGGTTTCTGAAAGGCCTGCGCAGGGCTCCACCCCTTTGCAGAGCAGCCAAGCATCCCTGATTTCTGAAAGCCCTGACCCAACCCGGGAGTCCCCTGGACCATGTCCTGACCAGCACCTCCGTGGGGGTCTGAAAACATGGCCCCAGGAGCCTGGGTGCATGGGGTGGGCATCCCTGTCTCAGATGTTGCCAATTCCGTCTTCCTGTTTGGTACCTGGAGTTCTGGTACCTTTTGGGGTTTTGTAGTTATAAAAGTCAGGAGGTGACCTATAGTTGCAATCCAAGGCTGGGCTGGGATTCTGCACATGCCCACTGGAACCACAAACTCTCAGAGCTGGAGAGCCCCCGAGARCCCTCAAAGGGTGGTTCCCAAACCCAGCTGTATCCTGTCACCCCTGAAGTGAGTTTAAAATACAAGCATCCCTCTCAGGTGGTTTCTAAGATATCCAAGATCCAAAATCTGCAGATGATCTAAGACTCTTATATAAAATGGCACAGTAAGTGCATATAACCTATGCACAACCACACGTGCCTGTGATTTTATTATTATTTTTTACAGTGGCTGGGATGAAATCTCAGGGCCCTGTGCATATAAGGCAAGTGCTCTACCACTGAGCCACACCCCCAGCCTTTCCTGAGTATTTTCAATCCCCCATCTGAATTCTAGGACAGACCTCATGGATACAGAGGGTGACTAAATGCAGATTCTTGCCCCCACCACTTAATGCCCAGAGATTCTCATCTATCAGTTCAAGGGCAGGAGCCTCTCAAAAGTAAACACACACACACATACATACATACTTTTTGGTTTGGGGAATGGAACTCAGGGCCTTGGACATGCTAGGCATTGTCCTGAGCTACACCCCAAACCCCAAAAGTATGTCCCTGAAAAACTTCTTTTTTTTTTTTTTTTTTTTAGATACTGGGGATTGAACTCCAGGGAACTCAACCACTGAGCCACATCTCCAGCCCTATTTTGTATTTTAGAGACAGGGTCTCATTGAGTTGCTCTGAGTTGCTTAGTGTCTCACCTTTGCTGAGGCTGGCTTTGAACTTTGAAAAACTTCCAAGGATCAAACAGGTCTCTCTGCCATCTTCAGCAGATCTTTCTCATATGGATTTTTATTTATTTATTTATTTATTTATGGTGCTGGGGATTGAACCCAGGATCTTGTGCATGCGAGGCAAGAACTCTACCAACTGAGCTGTGTCTCCAGTCCCCCAGCTAGATTCTTAACACTTAGCTTCTAGCATTCTGGTATGTTCAAAAAGCAAATAATGGGCTGGGGATGTGGCTCAAGTGGTAGCGCGCTCGCCTGGCATGCCTGCGGCCCGGGTTCGATCCTCAGCACCACATACCAACAAAGATGTT